GCTGAGAAGCCTGTGAGGTTGTGAGGTCGAAGGAGCTGGAGGTGAACCTGACGAGGTTCTTGTAAGGGCCGATGTCTCTGAAACTGGCGTCCTGGCCGTAGTGTTCCTGCTACCCCTTCTCCTCCTTGGCCGCTGCCACTTGGTTAGGCCGGTGTCGATCCTGTAGCTGAAGCTCCCGGCCCCTTCGCCAGGTTGCCATACTTCTCCAGCTCAGTCACCCATCCATGACGACCTGGGTAGCCTGATGAAGATGCAGACGAAATTTCATTATCCTCTGACAGCTTGTTGGGCGGCGAGACCCTGTGGTTGTCCCTCTTTGTAGCGATGACTGTGGGGCTCTTGGTAATGGGCTGGAGGATCACGATCTTGAAACACTGTTTATCAGTTTGAATTATGTGTTTTGGTATTTGATTATTTGTGATGCCATGAGAATAAACTGATTATCAAGAGGGGTACATGATGTCTGGCATCCCAGCAAGCAACAGGGGGAGGAACAGCATTGGATGCCTGTTGTGGCTTTTGTCCAGGATAGTTCTGCAGCAGATGAGGGGCACTATCCTCCCTGGGCACAAGTGGGAAGTCATGGTATGCTAGCTAATGATGCTGTTCAAAATGACATTGGAGATGTAATGAGTCCAGATTTTTTGGTAACCTTTGCATTCTTATATGAGAATGTTGTTTGCAGGTTGATCTGTTCTTCTACATAGACCTAGAGGAAGCAAAGGTGCAGGAGGAGGAAGCTGCCGTGGTCCCTGAGTTTGCTGCAATCACTGATTATACCGTACTATGACTTCTTAGTTTCCCGGATTGTATACATGCTCAAAGATATTGTGTAAAAGTTGAACTATGGAAAAAAATATTGGTTGTTTTTATGTACGTCTCCAAAATAAATCCGTTGCGTTAGCACGGACATTATACTAGTATATATAATATATAACAAAGAAATTCCTATAGTGAACGAGCTCGTTGGTTTGGGCCTCGGAGCTTGAATCTGGTCCGCCTCGATAGACAAATATCTGGGCCTTAGCCAGCACGGGCCACGTACCTCATGATTTGGGGCCTAGCACTAGCAGTGAGTGTGGTACCAGCCCGCACGTACGGTACGAGGATGTAAAGTTTGTTGCCTGCAGACTGCCAGACTGGCGTGCAAAAAGCCTACCGTTCGGTACCGGAACCGTACGATGCAGCGATTAAATAGCAACAGCAGAAGAGAGGCCGTGCAAGTGCCATGCATTGCAAACGGTACAAGTGAAGGCTCGCATCGCGTGGTGGCCTTTCTCCGTTTCTCGGTCATATGCATGGTCGTCGTCGTCGCACGGGTGCTCCTGTTCCGTACTCCAAATCTCTTGGGTTCTACGGTTGGTTCGTGACAATATCCATTTCTGTCAGACGAAATCCCAAGCATGTATGGTACACAGCGTACGTCTCGACGGCAATGGGACAGTGGCAGTGCGTATGGGAGGGCTCGTACACTGACCGTACATACACGGGGGGCAGTTTGCCGTGGGCCGGACGGACGGCTGGGATCAACTTGGGGTCGGGGAGGCGATCAATCAACCATCCGGTAGCGAAAAAAAATTCAAGACAGGCTATGCAAAGCTACGTCGATTGATGAATTCTGAAGGGCATGCAAGCCCTTGATTTTTTTTATTTAAATGCACCAGAGATCCATTGACTTGTGAGGAGGTTTCAGTTAAGTTCATTAACTTTCAAAGTGGCTTTTGGGTCCATAAACTTTGTATGTCGTATCACTTAGGTCCATATCTCCCCACATGGACTTTTTATGCTGATGTGGCTGCTGACTTGGACCATCATTTCGTCAAACATGTCGTGGTAGCGCCCAAAAAGGTACGCAGCCGCCGCCATGCAACCACGCGAACGCGATGGCGGTAACGGGCGCTTCGGCGGTGGGGCGGACGAGTGGCAGCGTATTCGATTACTACGCCGAGTGCCGAGCGCCGCCGGGGAGGGCGGCGGCGTGCGAGAACCATTGTTCCGAAAAGGGCGGCGTCGTGCGTGGCGTCATTGCCGCTGCTTTCGAGACGCGCGCGCCGCTTTATACAACGTCTTCTTGTCGGACGGCAAAAGCAACGACTTAGTCTTCTGCAATGTGAGGCGAGCCACACACCACGCGGACGCTTCTCGGGCGCGCGCCTGCCTGGACCAACGCCGGGGCAAACATAGCCGCCTCGTCTTCTGCTTAGCCTCAAATGCTCGCCATCTATTTGTTTGCGACACCCACTGCAGCGTGCCTCTCCCTACCCGTTTTTTCATCACCTCGAGTCCGTCGTTTATGACGAGATGGAGCGCGCGCCGCCGCGAGATGCGGCTTTCACGCCAACACCACCGGCGATTGCGCTGCGGTGACGCGTCCACCTTCACCCACCCGGCCACGCTTCGACCACGGTGGCCATGGACCCGACCTCTCAGGCCAGCGTCGCGGGTCGCGCTGACTTCGAGAGCTTCCTCAAGGCCCGCGATACTACCACCGCCTCGGCCTCTCCTTGGTCGCTGCGCGGTTAGCTACTACTCTCTCTGGCTCTCCGGCGACGGCAAGTCCATGTTCGCGCCGCCCGCGATGGCGAGTTCTCATTATCCTCGACGTCTCGACATCGACCTATCCCTCTTGCGGCTGCGGCGACCTCCGGGCGCCACGCTTGAAACACGGACACCACCCGCGGTCGCTCATCCTCGTGGAGGACCTCGGCCCAGCTACTAGGGGAGGAACAGCATTGGCGGCGGCAACCAGGATAGCGCGACGGCGAGACGGCGGCGGCGAGGGATGACATTGCGCGTGTGCTCCTTTGCTTCATGGATGTTGGGCTCTCCTCGTCGCTCAGGCGAGGAGCGCGCGTGATGGTGTTCACCATGAGCGGGCGCCACCCTCGTCGGTGCATCAGAAGCTTGTGTGGCCCGTCCTCATCCACGGTGCCATACATCCACCGATGTCCCGGCCCCACACCGTCCCGTCCTCGTAGCCGCGCGAGAGATGAGCGCGGTTGCCTCGCCAATGGCGGCCGCGTCGAACGAGCACGCAGGTGGTGATGAAATCTTGACCGTGTCCCATTGCTCCGATTGGTTCGTTAGGGCGGCATGCACCGAATGCGAAGGAGCGGCGTCGACACGCCCAACTTGTCGACCTCGATGCGGTGGTTCGTGACACGCCCCCAGCGAAATCGCCGTCGTGGTGGTCTCCAGAGCGGTGGGTCGACGCCGTATATAGCCGCGGCTGGGACGCAAACGACAATCGCATCCGGTAGCGGTGCCCATGTAGATGGGTCCTGAAGGCCATCGAGGCTGGGTTCGAGATCCATTGACTTATGAATCGAAGAAGACGCGGTTGTGGTTCGCGTAGCGGTCGCGGATGTCGACGCCGCCGTCCATCATTTTACCGTGAGAACCGACGCACGCCACGTCGCTACGCTTTCGCCGTCGAGCAGCAGTGGCGACGCCGCGGAGAAACTGCGAGTTGTTCACGTAGTGGTCGCGATCAAGGTTGACGATGAAGGTGTGCGTTGGAGAGCACGGCCGCCTAGAGCACGCAGGCAAGCGCGCGCCGCTTCATGGCGCCAACCTTGTCGTGGTGCACGCGCCGCGCCGCTTCTCCCGCCAACATGTACACGAAGCGGCCGGAACCCGCCGCCGACGCCGACCGAGGTCCGGAGAGATTGCGACACCACCGATGGTGGTCTTCCTCAAGCGCCAAGTTGTGGCGTCTTTGCCGAGCTACTATCGAGTACCAATTCAACAGCTCGGCATGATCTTCCAGCGGTGCCACGCCGCGCAGCGCTTCTTCCATCGGCCGGCGACGTCGCCGACGATTGCTGATTTGCTTGGCGGGGCGCGCAGTCTCCGGCTTCGCGAGCGTTGATCCGTAGCCGTAGTTCTTCGTACTCGGCGCGCGCGCGCCTCGTCCCTTGCCGGCTCCGCCCGCCCTTCCCTTATAGTCACCCCTCCTCGCTCGCGCCTTGACGCCATTATCGGGCGCAATTGTGGCGGCGTAAGTAGCCTCTGGTTCCTCGGCTCCACCGCGTGCTTCGGCAAAAGCGGCACCTGATCCATGAAAGGAATGGGCAGCCTCGGCGACCACGTCGTCGCGTGACCAGCCAGCGCCACGACGACCCGGAAGCGAGGGCTCGAGCGCATGCGGGGCTTGACGAACGCCAGCAGCAGATGAGCCGGACTTCGAGTCGCGAGGATGCCGAACCCGAGGAGGATGATGGCACCCACTCGTCGTGATGCCGTTCGGTTCACCACAGCGTCGCGGCCGCGCACGCGCCAAAGAAACCCACGCAGCGGCAGTGCGGATGCTCGGGCGGTCGACGTCGACGCGGTGGCCGAGGCATTGAAGATCGCGACGATGGCCGCCCTCCCTTACCCGACCTCATGGCGGCATCCAGCCCGACCGACCAACCCCGTGTGGCTGCCCGCTTGCCGGGTACTCGCAGCGTGGCGAGGATGGCGGCGTGACTAGCACTAACGCAGCCAGCCGCGCCAGCGACGCTTGCGCTGCGTGTGGCGCAGCGGCAACCAACCCCAACGCACCACTACCACGCCACGCCCACGACATGTTTGACGAAATAAAGGGTCCAAGTTAGCAGCCACATCAGCATAAAAGGTCCATGTGGAGAGATATGGACCTAAGTGATACGACATACAAAATTTATGGACCCAAAAACCACTTTGAAAGTTGATAAACCTAACTGAAACCTCCTCACAAGTTAATGGATCTCTGGTGCATTTACCTCATTTTTTTTTTTAAGAATGGCATGCAAGCACCAACTCGACCAGTGGAACGAATTTTCACAGCATTTAATTTAATTTTATCCACCAAAGGATGTACAAAAACTAATAATCACCTCGATCTACCAAGCGTGGTCACTACTAGTACTACCTTAATTAATAATAATTAATGAATGAAAACGTGTGGCAAGCATATTCGAGGAGGAAGGGGGGGGGGAAGCTCCGTCACTACTCTATAGCTATATATACCTTCTCACTCAAGGCACTACGAAATCAGGCAAGCTATGGCCGTCAACCTCCTGCTCCTGCTCCTGAACCAATAAAAGGAGCAGGATACGGTGTATGTGCCTTGCAAACAAGAAAGCGCCAACGGGGATGTTTGGATGACTGGTATTTCGTTGGAATGTTCAGTCTCTAGCTAGCTCTCAAACGTTCCAAGGAAATACCATCGTCGGTCCAAATAGGCCCCGAAGACGTTTTCCTTCTGCATATATAGCAAGCAACCTTGGAAGGAGATTGATGGATTTCGGACGAAAACAAGATGCGAGGGACGGCCGCCATGGTCGATCAGAATTTACAGCAGATAATTCCTTTCCTCCAGACACGATGCCGTCTGCTGCGCCTCCGTTCTGCCTTTGCCATCCTTACGGGGCTGCTGATCCACTCCCTCTGCAGCCTGTGCATTGACAAATTAAACAGTTTGATGAAAATGTCCACTATAAATCATACAATAATTCTGTGGTTCATTTCTTGAAGAATGTTTAAAAGATAAGTGAAGCTCAACTAGTTATAGGTCCACAGCTGATTGTTTCAGAACCAAATGCAGGAGAAGTAAGTACAATCTAGCTTATACAGATTGTTTTGATATCTTACTGAGGTGGATAAGTGCTTAGAGTTGTTTGACTTACACTGGAAATGCAAAGGACCGGGCGCTAGTTGTGCTGCTATCTGACCGGAGAGAGATGCTGCCAGAATTCGTTATATGACCTGACATCGACACTGGGCCAGACATTATACTTGGACCAGAGAAATTCTGTTCGTAGGTATTTTCATTGCCGATGCGAGCTGTTGACTTCGAACTACCAGGCACGGTTTGTTGGACCACAGATCCATCTTGCGCGAGGGTAGAACTCTTACTGGCTGCATCGTCTGTGCATATGCTGTGCTCCTCATCTATCTGATCATGTTTTTCTTGATTCTTCCCATATGCATCGCTATGCTCAGCACTGTTAGGGGTTGAAGATGTAGCAACTGTGGTTTCATCCGCTGCACCAGCGATTGCCTTGCTAAAAATACTTTCGCTGTGATCATTGCTCTTTTCAGATGATTGAATTTCTGAACTACTTGTGCTAAGAGTATCCGCCCCTGGTTCAGATGTTTCAACTTCATCTAATCCTGTGCCACCCGTGACATTGTGAATAGAGTAGATGGAATCTGTGGAGGCAGCATCTGTGATTCCTGGTATAGAGCACTCAGGTACCGATGTATCCTCCAGTGACCTATGATCAACGAAAGGGTTGTGCCGATCAATTTTTTGTGGCTCTCGCACGTCTAATGCTGTAGCTGTATCATGGTCTCCAGGCGTCGTTGCTGGGCAACCACTGGCATTCTCCTTACTTGATATACCACTACTAACATACTCACTGGTGTTGGCCAAAATAGTCTGAACATCAGGATCGCCATCCTTGGAAGTCTTTAAGAACAAAAAAAAAAGTTCTGATGAAGTATACACATGGAAGAATTTACTGCTAAATTTCGAGTCAAGAGGGAAGAACATGTGGATATATCTACAGCACAATGATAGTGGTAATGAGACAAGCAATTTGAACAATTCTTACGTCATATATAATGGTACCGCTCAAAAAAAAAAACGTCATATATAATAGTAGACTAGTGGTATACCTGTCCAACTGCTTCTTCATGAAGAGGGCACTTATGTCTTTCACTGCTCTCGGAGTTTATTGTGCTTGAATGTCGGGATTCTTCTGCACTTTCAAGGAGAAGTAACTCTTGCAAACTTATCTTTTTCTCACTAGGATTGCCTGCAACGAAACCAGTATCAATCCGATCTTCAAGGTCGTACTCTTTGCGAGAAGAGTGCTGTTTCTCGTTGTTACAATGAGGGGCAAAGTCAACACCTGAAACTACTTCTGGTTTTAGTTCGTGTACAGATATTCTAGAATAATCTTTCTTCCCATATCTTATGTCACCATCTGCATCAATCATTTGGCAACTGAAATTTGGGGATGACCTTCTGTCTAGTGGTTTTTCTTCTGATGTCATCCGATGAAGTAGTGCTCCTTCATCAACACAGACATCCTTGACAAAATTATCACCATAATTATCAGAATCAATATCATCTGCCAATTTTATCTCCACAACATCCTTGTCATAAGAAACATTCTGAAGTACAATATGTCCACTTTTCTGTACTGTATCTCGTGATGAATTTTTGTCTTCTACCATTTTCTGTGTCAAAAACTCAGTATCATTTTACCATCATGTTCTATTATCTAGTTTCACAAAGCATCAAATGGTGTTGTCCTGCACACAAGTTCATGAGAGGTATTGTCAGCATGGAACTCTTGAATCATCTTTGCACAAATACAACACTAAGACTTTCAGAAGGTGAAAAATAGATGTTGTGAACAAATCTTGCATCAGAACGAACATGATTTTTCTTTTGATTTGACATACAATGAATGCCCAACAAATGATAAATTAGTGATTAAGTATATATTAGCAATCCATACAGAACATAGTGTAAATTCGACTAAACTAAGATATTTCGCAGTTTTGCTTCTATTCAATATGGTTGGCACATCCCTTTAATCAAGTGCAGGGCATTAAAATTTCTTGTCACTCCAACTACATCGGCCTAAATTCATGATGGCCTTGACGGAGACAGTTCCTTCTATGGTTCGAACAAAGAGACCAGTGGCGGTCTACGTGGAATTAATATCATCATGGGGCCAAGTCAAGGCACAAAATCTCATAATCAGAAACAACAGCCTTCCCACTTGACATGAACAAAGGCGAGCAGCTTTCAGGTTATATAGGTAGCAGAGTCAATTTGGACAGGACAGGCAACACCACAACAGCAACTGAGATCGATAGCAACCTGAATACCTAATGGCACCTTTTGAGACTAGGATGTGCATATGACCTTCAGAGTCCACAACTTGCTGAAGTAATGGAGATTTCATTAACTTGAGTGTTCAGACAGAGTCACACGTCTAGCATTTCTTATGATCCTTCTGAATATGTAAAAAATGTTAAATCTGAACTTTAATAAAACTAGGTTCTAGGTATTGTATCGTCAACATGAGTTCCTTCCTACTGAGAAACCGTTTACTAGTTATACATATTGTTGATCCAGTGGATCTTTCAACTTACCAATTACAGTTGGCTGATCTAGACATAGAATAGTTTGCCCAAACATGGCTAACAATAGCAAATCATTCCTAAACTCCATTAAAGCCCCAGACTGGACGAATGTGTTGCGGTTAGTTTCAGTAGCAACTCTTTTTTTTCTTTTTTCTTTTTTTTTCTTTTTTTTTGTATGCAGGCAGAAGCATTGGGAATAGGTAAAAGATGCAGCTGAAACTAGCTTCAGTCACCTAGCTTCATGACGGAGAACTAGAAGCAGCGAAGGGGAGGGAGTACTGATGTTTTCCGAGTTCACCCATGAAAAGAAGTGTTTACTGGTGATGGCAGAAATGTTGCACTTTCTTGTAACCGCAAGTCCTTAACACAGCTGTAAGTGGTCCTATTAAGGCTACGAACCTCACAATCTTTGCATGAACCGGTAGAAACTGACACAGCAACAGAAAGCAGATACACGCCAAACTAACTACAGAGTTGGCACCAGAACAGGGAGGCGCCGCACATACAGGCACATCAAGATTCAGACTCGTACGATACAGGCATACAGGCACATCAAGATTCAGACTCGTACGATACAGGCATACAGGCACATCAAGATTCAGACTCGTACGATACAGGCATACACTCCACTCCACCCAAAGAGTCGTACGATACAGGCATACAGGCACATCAAGATTCAGACTCGTACGCCCAAAATATTAAAAAAATATTTCTTTTCCCCTTCCCTGACTGATGGGCAACACACTAAACAGCCTAGTATATATAGGATACAGTACAATCCAGACCTAAAACATCGGCGATTTAGTGATCTTGATAACCTAGAACACATCGACAGGAGTACCTCTTGTCGCAGACGTACATGCACTGCATCGGTACGAAAGCTTACGTAGAAGAACTGCAACAAACGCATCAATCACACACAACTGGCCGGGCGCAGGAAACAGGAATGAGGTGCGCGCCAATTCCAGTTTCCCCCAAGCGCGGCAGGTTGGAGGAACTGGCACAGCCCAAAGAAACTTCAATGCATGCATCAGATGGTGCCTGTCGCTGGCTGGAGCTGGGCAGTGTCTGTCTCCTCCCCCCACAGTAGTAACTACAGGCACAGGAAGCTATGGTACTCGGAGAAATTTCGCGGCAGAAGCTGATCTTATAGCAAATCACAGGGTTTTCTCATGTGAGGAAAAATGAAACCATGACACTCAGATCGGCAGTGGTTTTTCTGTTCTAATCTTGGAGTTGAGAAAGCATGCCAAAAAAACAAAAAGGAGCAGGTCGTGGTGAGTCGACAAGATTAGACGAGGGCACAGAAAGCAACAAAGCCCTTTTCCGAATCATGAACGCCATACAGAGCCTAGCGCGAAACTCTGGCGGAAATCCAGAACGAAGAAAAAGAGGGCCAGGGGAAGAACAGAACAGAGGAGAAGGATCAAGAACTCACCTGCGTCGGGATAAAACCCAACGAAATTCTCTGCTCCTCCGCCGCTTCCGAAGCCGAAAGAGACGGCGCCGCGAGCGGAGATTGGCAGGAGCTCGGCGAGAATGGGATGAGGAGGAGATCAGCCGATCACAGGCCCAACGACCAGGAGAATTCGGAGTTGGGAAAAAAATTCCAAACCCCGGGGGGTGGCCTCTTAAATAAAAGGCGTGAGAGGCAGAGCTGCGCAATAAATTTCGTATGCACCTCTCTCTCTCTCTCTCTCTCGATTTGTATTTACAATTAGGCCCCTCGAGGACCATGAAACGGGGTCCTTGGATTGCTTAAACCACAAGTTGCTAGGACGTTTCACGGTACACAAGTTTGCTGGATTTCAGGTCTGTTGGCGTTCAGGTGTTGAGATTATGCTGAACGTCAGGGGACCTCTTGATATTATGCATTTGTTCAAAACTTGAGTAGTGAAATTCTAACATTTGGGTCTTCTCCATTTTTTTCAACAAATATGTATTCAATTCCAGTGTCCAGAATAAATGCTTTGCAATGTATACTTGCTTGAAAAAGAAACAAGTGTATTGTCTCTTAATTTTCATTTATGTTTATGACTTTATATAGTTTTGGTCAAGAGGCCAATTAAAAATGTGTTTGGCAAAACATTTCAGATTCTCAGTAGAATCGTTGTCAAACGTCACAAAGAGAAATATTTCACGGAGAATCACTTGAAACCAATTCTCATTTTTTACTAGTCTATAGAAACACCAAAAACCCGGTCTCTCCTGATTCTAGTTATGGTTTTAAGAATCCCTAGTCAAATGGTTCCACGAAGTAATTCTGATTCATCAGAAAATGTTTCTAAAGGAAATATGGATCCAAAATATTTCTACGAGAATCTGGCACCCTGCCAACATTGGCGGAGCCTAGTGCAGGCCATACTAGGCTCCGACCCCCTTGCTATGAAAGATTAATGAAGGTTTATATACTTATATTTGCAAAGTATAAATGCCCGTCTAGAGACCTACATATTGGACAATTTGGCCCCTTGACTGCGAGTCAGGCTTTGCCACTGCCTGCCAAACGTGCCCTACTTATATAACATTCCAAAGGTAATTCAGATACTATCTTTTTCAAAATAGTCATGTACTATTTTTTTTCTTCTAAAATACACTTTCATGATGTCATAGCAATTTTAATAAATATCACAAATATATGCAATAGGGGGTGTTCCAAAGTTATACTTTGGAGCATCGCCAAACAAAGTGTTGAAGAAATGGTCGAGAACAAAATATACTTAGGATCCGTTGAGATAATAGGTGGGCTGATTTTTTAGCCAAGTCTTCAACTCGTTATTAGCTAGTTGGCTAGTCAATCATAGCTAATTTAAACTAATTTTTAACCTCAACTGATAACTAATTATATGTATCAAACATATCCATCTACTAGCCAAAGAATACATACATATATATATATATATATATATATATATATATATATATATATATATATATATATATATATATATATATATATATATATATATATATATATATATATATATATATGCACTCATTTGGCAGTATAGCTAGAGGCCAGCACTTCACACCCTGTGGAACTACTCCTATATAACCAGGGTAGTATTCGAGGGCTCTACATTGGTAAAAGTAGTAACTGTACAGAACGTTGAAGGTATGATAAAATGGTCCTTACATTTCCAATCAATGAACCCATTTGAGTAAATGAAAAATGGTAGCACTAGCAGAAGAATCTGTACCAAAAGCTTAGAGAGGCAATAACGTCATATGAAGAGGGTGCAGTCGCGAAATGATACAAGAGAAGTCAAAGGAAAGAAGGCATTAAATATGGGGGGCAATAGCAAAAACCAAACCGCTGGAGACGACAGCTCTCCCGCATTTAAGTACTCTAAATTCCAAACCACCTCCACGGACCCAATATTTATTACGCACACAAGAACCAACGAAGCATTTCTGGAAGAAAAACTACTGTATAAAACAAAGATATTGTAGAAACCGAAGAAAAAGGTTTTCTCACAATAGTTTCAAGCAAAAGAGGAGATTTTTAAAATGTAAAGTATCGATGAGTTCAAAATTTATCTTTGAACTTCATCCATATATATCTGCTTTTTAAACCTCATCCATGCATACTTTTTAGGCTGTGTTTGATACAGCTTCCGAAAAATACTTCTATCGGTAAAAATAGAATGCTAACCAAAATGGGTGGAACCAGAAGCTACTAAAGCAGTTATTTTTGTGTATTATAATTGTTGCAACACTTTAATTAATGTTTAAAATCAAATAATTTAAAAATTATTCAATACATCATTTATATTAATTAAAGATCACAACGAAATGCAAAGATTATAGTCATCAACAGCAAGGAATGGATATTTGCCTCAATCAATAATAGTGGTGCTAAACATATCAGCGCGTTCGGCTGATCCGTTGAACAGTGGATTTTGGATTATTTAGGATGATTCAATAGTGTTCTGTGAGAGAGAATAAGGTGAAACAAGCTGGAACCTAAGCAGCCAAACACGCTTATTCACGGCTAACTCAAATAGTCATGAAGGGACCGTGATGCCTAAGGGCCACTTTGTAGAGCTTCACTTCTTGATTCTTGAGCTTCACTTCTT